CCCCACGCTGATTCTTGTGTCCTAAGCCTCTTCTGAGTCTCTCTCTCTCTCCCCTCTTCTCTTCTCTGTGGGCAGGACCACCTGCTGTTTTGATCATCTTCTTTTTCTCTCGCCCAGTGATAAGCCTGCGCAGGGATGCTTGCAAGCTAACATCTCTCTCTCCCTCTATTTTTTTTTTATTTTGCCTTTCTTCCCCTGCATTCCCTCGCTTGTCATTTTGTTCCTCCCTTATCTCACGCCCACTGCAGCTTTGATGGGAGCCGACTCGTGCTGTCAGGAGGAAACATGTCAAAGAAATACACACATGCGCTCACACACACTCGGGATTTAAGATGCTTATGTTTGATTCAGCTTTAATCTTCTCGTCCACCTCCGTCCTCGTCTGCTGCCAGTTTGAGCTTCACTTTGATCTGATCACATGTAGAGATGTGGTGGGAGAATTAAAGGTGGGACGGCTATGATCTCTAGTCAGAGATGATCATAAGGCAGCCAAAATAAACAGAAAAAAAAATGATGTTTATGGCGAAAGGAAATATTGTGTATATATAAAACACTGTATTTATGCCACTTTTAAAGTACCTTTTGAGGACAGCATTCAGAGAGGACAGCAAACTAAGAATAACTCTTGAGTGGAGTGGATAGAGGATTTTACATGTCCATAGTTTGTAGCTGATCTGAAACAGGCTTGTGGAAAACTGATCTGAATCCCACGTGCATACATTATATTCCCCAAAAAAGATGGAGATAGAGACCCGATCTGAATAGACCTGAAAAAATTGGACATGATCCAAAATGATTGATCCAAACCGACCCAGATAGACAGAAGACCAACACTGGCAGCAGCACAATGCTAACCTGACTGCACCAGATGGTTTGTTATATAGAACCACATCGTCGTCGGATGCTGTTTGAAAAAGTTCAGGCACTTCTGTGGTAGGTGATTGGCTGAACCATTTGTATATTACCGTATCATGGGTGAACTTCAACCAATCAGATCAACTAACCATATGACGTAGTCAAACTCTTTACCAAGCCCGTCGGGAGAAGAACAAAAACATCTTTTCCATCGAGAGAAGCCTTTGGTACAGTTCTTTGCTCTTCTATCAACGGAGAAATATTCCCTATTTCTGATATAACTGATGCCAGCAGCATCTACCCAAACCTCTTTAGCAGCTGCTGTTATTCTTTTTGATTGTGTGATCCTCCGAGTCCAGCTACCTATCAAGGTTAGCGCAATGCGTTCCTAACACATAAAATGACTTGATTCCTTCTTCTTACCCACTTCCACTGCTGTATGTTCAAACTGCAAAGCACTTCAATCGAAACGAAGAACAATTCAAAATAATTACTTTCCCCTACTTCACTTTGTAAAAACAATTATTAAGCATCAGCAGGGCTGCAACCAGTGATTATTTTCATTATCAATGAATGTTTCAATTATTTTTCAGGGTTATTAGTCAATTTTTTAGTCGACAGAAGGTCTGAAAATAATTAAAAATACCCATCACAACTTGTTGGACCAACAATCTGAAAAAATATTCAATTTACATAATATAAGACAACTTGTTAAAAGATATACTTTTTCATTTTAAGTTTGGGCCTTAAAAATCCTCTTGTGACTTGGCTGAAAAGCTAACTATGAACTATGTACGATATTTTCAAGTTCTCAAGATTCCTTTTTATTCTATAAAAGTGGTTAAATAACAGTTGTGTTGGCAGCTGTGTTTGTCAAGTTTCTAATGTCATTCTGTGTGTGTGTGTGTGTGTTTGTGTAGCTTCCCACCAGCCCTGCAGATCAGTTGAATTCATGTGCAGCAGCGGGATGTGCATCAACGCCGGCTGGAGGTGTGACGGTGAATACGACTGTGATGACCACTCAGACGAGAAGAACTGCAGTGAGTGGCTGCTTTCAACGGAACTGCTAAACAGTGCTCTGTATGTGGTTGTGTGTCTAAACATAGGTATGTTTATGATTGTTTATTTGTCTTTGTGTGTGTATGCAGCCACGTCCATGTGCACGGCCGACCAGTTCCGCTGTGGAACTGGACGCTGCGTCCGGTTGTCATGGAAATGCGATGGGGAGGATGACTGCTCTGACCACAGCGATGAAGAGGGCTGTGAGAGAACTGGTAAGACTATGGCTGTTGTCTTGTTTTCAGAGGCTAAATATAACATGAGCTTCAATCGTAGTCATGACAACAGCTCAGAACAACCCTCCTCTACTGACAAACTCACTCTTTTCTTTTTTTTTTCTGTTGAGAAAGACGGCTGCTTTCGAACAAAAGACTGATCGGTTTGGCAGTTCCTTCACTGGTGGAACAATAAAAACAACCTGTAGACAAACCACAGACACTGGCCTGAATGTTGAGATAGAAATGAACAATAAACAGGCAGCAGAGAAAGGATGGAAAGTTTTTACTTTATTTTTGGATACTATCCATCTACAACCTGAGCCATGATAGTAAAGGAGTTCCAGATCACTTTGCATGAACCTCTTCAACCCTGAAACTTCCCGTATCTTCCCAGCTTGAAAGTTAATACATTTGTATCCACTCCATAGCACAATATCGATGTTTTACTTGTTGCTGCACTTCAGTCACATGTGATGAAAATCTTCAGATCCATGATGTAATTTTCATGGCTGCACATTTGCATCAAATAAAAATGCCTTTTTGTATCATTTGTACGTTTCCCTGTTGTTCAGCCTGACATGTTAGGAGTTACATGTAATAATGGGCCCAGTGTGGTAGGAGAGGTTAATGGAAAATCCAAAATAAAACACTTTAACACTCTCTTAATAACCGTTGGCTATGTACTTAAAGCTGAAACTTATTTTTTTTTGTTAAGTTTCATGTATGACTAACAACAATTAGGTAAGTGAGTGGGAGACAAAGAGTTGTTGCTATAATCATACTCTGTGTGAGTGGGACAGAAGAGGATGGCAGTGGATGTCGGACCAGTTCTTAATGTTGTCTGAATGATCTTCTAAAGGGGTCTTTAGGCTCTGGGGTTTGGTCATTAAATCACTGTACATAAAGGTTTAATACACTTCAACATACATGTAGAGCAACTGAAACAAATTGAGAAAAGCTTTTAGATGAAGCAAACAGATTGCAACGTTTTTTAGCTAATCCAGAGACTGAAATGCCGAGCACCTCAACGTGCTCCATCGCACTGATCTCTACCGGTTGACAGATAGCTGTTTTCTCACGGGATATATATATCTCCCCACAGAGAGTCCCCCGTGTGCTCCTGATCAGTTCCAGTGTGGGAATGGACGCTGTATCGGTCAGAGGAAGGTGTGTAACGAGGTCAGCGACTGTGGAGACGGCACCGACGAACACCCACACCATGACTGCCGTGAGTCTTTTAAGTTCAGCCTGTTTTTTTTTTCTTAAAACATGCACAGAAGACTGCCATAACAAAGACCGACATGGGCATTAGACTTAATGAATGTTAATCAAGATTAATTGACAATTGTCTTTAAATGTCATCTGGTTAGTCATTTCAGTTTAATTTCAAATTTGACAATGCTTTAGAAACTTGTTGTGACAACTTGACATTAATGGAAGGAACAAAGCCTCTTATGGTTGGCTTTTATATAATCCAGTCTTTTTACACTGTCAAGTGTAATCATTGTTATTACTGCATTTTTACACATTTCTTTTAGCTTACTTGGGAGTTTTCTTTGTTTGACAGATTTATTACAGTGTTATTAATCAATGTGTTTATTCCCCTGGGCAGCATTAATGTGTTGAGCACATTTTTATTGCAATCTGTCAAGAAGTTGAAGCAGTAGTAATAATTGTGTGCCATTAAAAGAAAAGCTCATGGAGTGTCCAAAGTGGAAACAAACTTTAATGACAATCTGGACTGGAGATTTCTTTGCCTCGGCTTATGGGCCTAAAACATTTCAGGGCTCCAGATGAGTCAGATACTTTTTACAGTGTGTGGTTGTATTTATACTGAATCAGCGTGCTGTGTTTATGTTCCTGTTATGTTCCCATGTTGCACACAGGTCCGCGCTCCAATGAGGGCAACTGTAACCAGAATAACGGAGGCTGCTCCCAGAAGTGTCAGATGGTCAGAGGACTGGTCCAATGCACCTGTCACACTGGATACCGACTGATGGACGATGGCAAAGCCTGCCAGGGTACTACTGTGTCTGTGTTTCTGTGTGTGCGTGTGTCTGTGCGTGTGTGTGTTGCGTGGTGTCTGTGCGTGCGTGTGGAATGTGTGTGTGTGTCTGTGCGTGTGTGTGTGCGTGTGTGCGTGTGTGCATACACATCAGAATCTGACATCAGTGTCTGCATTGAAATTGAGTGAGCAGGCTAAGGTTGTGAATATTCATGACCTTGTGACCTGAGGTTTGACGATTGGTCAGTTGCTACCTAGTGTTAAACATGTGATAGCTTCACTGACTTCCTAAATATGACATTACTATAAAATGGTTCCCTTGGTGCTGCTATGCTGCTCATTCCTGCCACTAGGTAGATTACATGTTTACTACTTTTATGACTCCAAGTTGGTCTAGGGCAAATGGGGAACATAAGTAACATATGGAGAAGACAATGAGTCATATTATTTAGTTACTGAACCTTTTATTGACAAAAATACAAGTTTATATTGAAAGTCAGAGGACAGTCCAAGTCAAGATAAGTGAATCAAAGCTGTCAAAACTAAGCTTAACTCTATAACTCCTATTCAAAAATCAGAAGAGAAAGAAAGAAGAGAAAAGAAAAAAACAAAACTGGTAGTGTTTTGGTAGCAAAATGCAAAGGAACAAGTTAAAATACTGAAGTAAGGAAATAAATAGAAATATAACCTCTATGTTACTGATACTATCTTTAACTTGCTAAATATGGCCATGCATCGATGTTCAATGCGGCAACTCTCAGATTTTATGTGTTCGCTCAGTCAGTTTGTCTTTATCTCAGCAGGATATTTCCCAAAAGTTTGAACACATTTCCATGGAATTTGATGGAAAGCTTAGCTCTGGGCTGAGAAATTATTGATTAGAATTTGTTGTGGACCCAAATCTGGGATTTCTGCCACAAGTCAAACGTTTTATCGCCAGAATTTTGAAACTCATGGAGACACAATGAAATCTTCTTGATATTTGTTTCCAGATTCTACGGGTGTGTTTGTAAGGTCAAACAAATAAATCCAAAATGTAAGGGGTGTAACAAGAAGTTGGATGTGGATGTTTTCCGAAAGTGTGAATGAGCTTTTTACCTTCCAGTCACCTCTGTACACTCTGCTTTATGTCTTGAATTCATTGTTAACCCTGCGGGAGTTTGATGCCAACATCTCTCTTTCCCTCCCCTCTTGTCTTCCGCCTCTGTGGTCCATTCCAGATGTCGACGAGTGTGCTGAGGAAGGCTACTGCAGCCAGGGCTGTACCAACACTGAGGGGGGGTTCCAGTGCTGGTGCGTTCAGGGCTACGAGCTTCGACCTGACAAGCGCAGCTGCAAAGCTCTGGGTAAAAACCACTGTACTGTATTTCAACCTTGACATGTGACCACAGAGAGTCGCCTGGGTTTGACCTCCAATAAAAACACGGTTGCATAGTGTTTATATTTGCTTCAGCAGTAACTGTATCCGTTCCTCTGCCCCGGGGTCTTGGACTCAGAATGAGGTTGGCTCATTCGGAGGGTCTGGACTAGATTTAGATATGCAGCGAAGGTAGAGTTCAGGCCTGGTACAGCAGCCCATCAATCTGCTGCAGACCAGAGTTAAGCCCAGGTCACCACTGTCTGTCAGGCAGCTGCCAGGACCCAGAACTTCACCGCCAGCAAGATTAATGCTCACTCTTATTAAAAGTGACTATCGGTCTTAATTCAAACTTTTTTGTCTCTTTGCACTTTAGTTACCGTCCAACTTTAACTTCATGTTTGGCCTCTCGCTTTTTTCCTGTCCACTTTAATTCACATCATCTCCATCCTTGTCCGTCTTTCCGTCCTCCTTTAGGTCCAGAGCCGGTGCTGCTGTTCGCCAACCGTATCGACATCCGTCAGGTTTTGCCGCATCGCTCCGAGTACACCCTGCTACTCAACAACCTGGAGAACGCCATTGCCCTGGACTTCCACCACAGCCGCGAGCTGGTCTTCTGGTCAGATGTGACGCTGGATCGTATCATGAAGGCCAACCTCAACGGCTCCAACGTGGAGGAGGTTGTGTCCACCGGTCTGGAGAGCCCAGGTTGGTACAAATGTAGGGCAGCAGACTCATTTATCATTTATCCAGTTTATTCAGCTGTGCTGCTTTCTGTTCAACGATACTCTCCTTTCACTCGCTTCATCCATCACCTTGTTCATATATGAGTTCACATCAATACTGTCCAAACTCAAAAGTCTCCTTTTTTCTTCCTCTTTCTTTTATTTTCAGTCTCCTTGATTTTTTTCCTTTCTTTCTTTTGCTTTTTGTCTCCCTCTTTCTTGCTCTCTCTCTCAGCCTCAATGTCTCTAAAACCACAACTTTCAGTTTTTACACTTTGTCCAAATTAAAGAACTAGTGAGCTTTGCCAATAGGCAATATTGTTACCCTTGGGGAGAGCCAGGCTAGATGTTTTCCTATTTTCAGTCTTTATGCTAAGCTATTCTAACGGCCTCAGAAACATTTTCAGAACATAAAAACACCAACAAGTAAACAAACGATAGGCAGAAAAATTAAGGAATGAAAACATGAAATTATAAACTTTTTATTTTTTTTATCTCTTTAGGTGGACTGGCCATAGACTGGATCCATGACAAGTTGTATTGGACAGACTCGGGGACATCCCGTATCGAGGTGGCCAACCTGGACGGGACACACCGCAAAGTGCTGCTGTGGCAGAACATGGAGAAGCCCCGAGCCATTGCGTTACACCCGATAGAGGGGTATGAGTCCAAACACACGCACACAAACTCTATAATTCACTGCAGATGGTTTCAAATTTACACACACTCATATATACATATCCCCCCTGGATGTGTCCCAGTTGTAGTGTAGCAGCAGAGCAGGGATTAAAGTTTGCCAGCACACAGCAGTGCCCACAGGCGAGCATCTGTGTGGAACAAGTATTTCATGAAAGGGGCAGCAGCTAAGTGTGTTTTCATTCCCGGTTTCATATGCTGCAGTGGCAGGAGAGAGTTTCAGATGAAGCCCCAGAGAAATTTTAAGCAGAAAACTCATTCAGCTTATTAGGCAGCTCATTTGCATGGGATAATTGAAAAATATTAAAAAAAGTAGCTCTTCCCTCTGAGGCCGGTCAGAACGGATGAGTGATGATGAGGAGGACATGAATGTCGAGGACTGAGGAGACATTTTGTTGTATCGTACATCTGGTTCGTCTTGAATCCTGACAACAATCTGTTTACCTTTTGACTTTAGTGGACTCCATGAGGATCAGCTCAGAAAAGCTCCAGTCCTGCAGGTGTAAACAAGTAAACTAACCATGAATGTCCCACTTTCATCCTCAGTAAGATATACTGGACTGATTGGGGCAACACACCTCGTATCGAATACGCCAACATGGACGGCTCCAACCGGCGGGTCATCGCAGACACAAACCTGTTCTGGCCCAATGGCCTCACCATTGACTACGCCGGCCACCGCATGTACTGGGTGGATGCCAAGCACCATGTCATCGAGAGGGCCGACCTAGATGGACGCAACCGCAAGGCCGTCATCAGCCACGGTAAACACCGACCTGTTACCTGTCTTTTCTGGCTAGGATTGGGTATCAAGAGCCAGTCCAAAATTGCACCAAGAATGTCCATATCTTTTGATGATGAGATACATGCTTTTAAAATATTGACGAATCAATAAGCAGAACAGGAAAGGGGGAGAAAGAGGGAAAGACATGCAGCAAAAGGCCATTCGAACCCATGGCCACTGCAGCACGGACTCAGCCCTGGTACATGGGGCTCCAGTTCTACCAGGAGATCGATCAGGGCGCCTCCAGAACTGGAACTGATCAAATGTAGAGATACCTAAGCATATTTCTGGTCTTGGTTTAAGCCTGTTTGTGGAGGCCTATTTTTCTCTACATCTGAGGTACATCAACCAAAAAGAGATATTAAGCACCATTGCTGAACTATTTACAATATAACATAAACAGCGAGCAGCGTCTTTCATGTTTGCTTTATCAGCCTCTTTGTCCTCCTGTTCTGATGAAGCATGCACAAAACACATTCTCCCACTTGCAAAAAAATGATTTTGGTGTGCAGCAAGCACTTTCTTAAGTTTAAATTCTTTTTTCATTGCCTCCATCTGACCAGCACCTGACTGAATTATACTGCAGAGCCAGGGCTATCTGATTGTATTCTTGATAATGTCTTCATTTAAAGAGGATCTTTGAACTCACATACATACATACATACATACATACATACAGTTAAATACCTAAAAGGCCTCTGTTTAAAGTATAGCTCTGATGACCTTGTAACCCTGAAACATGAAACCACATCAGTTTATCCTAGTACCTCAGAAGTTGCTGACATTTTTTTTGTTGAAAGCTCAGAGTGAGCAGAAGAGATGTGGTGCACAGAGGTCTGGCTGAAGTTCAGATTCTCATTAATTACCACACACACACGCACACACACACACACACAAAGAAACACACAAACACACAAGCGGATAGATATAGGATGTAGCACGCTGACGCAACTTCATTATACCATGTGGAGTAAATGAATGCCATATTTTCTTTAAAGAGCATGCGCATGCGCCTACCACTGTCATGCAAACACACACACACACACGCTGACGCCATATATAACAACATAAAGCTGTGCGTGTTTCTGTTTATGTTGTTGGTTTCTACAGTAAAGCCTGAGCTTGTGCGCACTAAAAGAGGGGATCTGGCATTTACAGATGTAAGCAGGCAGGGCACTGGTCTAACACACACACACACACACACTCTCTGGCCTGCTTCTGAGGCCTCATGTTGCAGTAAGATTTGCTTCTCAGGTTTTGGCTGATTTTTTTTGTTTCCTGGTGCATTTGTACTTTCACAATGTTTTATCAGTCAGCAAACCAGCAGCCAGCAGGACACCCTGCTCACTGCAGGTTGGTAGTGTGGCAATTAAATTCAGCAGTGAAACTGGGGTTGGGCAACGGTAACAGACAAGGTTTGTCGTGCTGGTTCGTGTGAGACAGAAGCTGAACCTGGATGTACACACTTTAAGGATGGTTGACAGCAGTTATTCCAACTTGTCAAATGAATACAGTTGGCGTTCTAACTTATCATCAATATACTGTAATGAAGTTTTTAACCTCTACTGCATGCTGAAAGTGGATCACTGACTCATTAATTTCCCTCCGTACATTTGCTGAGTTATGTTGTTAGCAGGCAAAAATGCATGAGCAGATTTCCTCAAAATGTGGTGGACTGTCAAGCTTTGGAACATGAAACACATCCAAGAAACAAATTAGATTTTGCATGTGATCCTGAGGTCTTCAGCCATTAGACAAACATTATTTCTCGGCAGTGACTGTGAAACTATCAGACGTAAAATAAATAAATAAATGGGTAATTTCACAGTCAAGAAATCAGTTAACAGTGGTCACAAGGCCAAGGCAAAAAGGCTATGTGAATCATGAATTTTACAGTAATAATATGTTAGAAACTAGGCAGTGTGGCTTTCAATTTGGAAGTTTTTTTTTCTAATGAAGTAAAAAAAGAGTGTGAAAGCACATCAGTGACGAACACGCGTGTTTAAGAGTGTGAAAAGAGAGAGGGACAGGGGAAATGTTTGACATGGGTGTGTGTGTGTGTGTGCGCCATCAAAAGCAGCGTTGTAAACAAATTGGCATCGGTGTTGCTCAGCTGCAGCGATCGACACACAATCAGTTTGTCAGCGTTAGACTGTCAGGATTAGGGTGTTCATTTCCACCAGTTTTACCATGCTGCAATTAAATCACGCACTCCAGATACTGTTAAATAAAAGTAACAACCTAATGGAATATGCTGTTGGGTTAGAGGTTTTCAAATTGCAGGACAGACTCCGTTATGGCACAGATAAGAAGAAAGACTGCTGTATGTCTGCTGTAGTAGAAAGCTCGGCTTTGCTGCGGAGATCTGCAGCACTTGAGCCAATTCAGATGTTTCTAATACCGCAATATTGTCGTCTTTGTGATTTGATGTGTAGGATGTAAACGATTAATTTGAACTGTGTGCATGCAGGCCTGCCAGATCCATTTGCCAAGGTTGTGGTGGACGGATCGGGTCAATGCCACTCAACAGACACAGTCAAGAGCACACTGGACCCCAAATGGAATCAGCACTACGACCTGTGAGTCCACTGCACCGCACACTGATGTACTGAATCCGTTTTTAAAGATGTGGTTATTTAATGAAGGTTTTCTTGATTCTGATTTTGTTATTTTACCCTAATAAAACGTAGCAGTAAAGATGTATATCTCCTTTGTTTAATCCAATTGTATCCTTCAGCTTCAGGTGATAGAATTTGAGATTTGTCTACTCAAGACATTCAGATAGCGCACACTCGACTGTGCTGTAAAACATGGAGTGGACACGTGCACATTTTATGATGTGTCTCTTTTTCAGCTACATTGGAAAGACAGACTCCATCACTATCAGTATATGGAACCACAAAAAGATCCATAAACGACAGGGGGCTGGTTTCCTGGGCTGCATACGACTTCTTTCCAATGCCATCAGCAGGCTAAAAGACACAGGATGTAAGTCTGTCCTCTTTTTTTCCTGCCCTCTGATTTAAAATACACAGAAATGCATACATGCTCACGGATGATGATTTAAACAAGAAAAGCTTTTGGTTTAAATGTGTTTCCTTTTCTCTTCATCTTCCAGACCAGCGTCTAGATCTATGTAAGTTGAACCCCTCAGACAGTGACGCAGTTCGGGGGCAGATTGTAGGTAAGGCTGGACGCACGGACACATTATCTGTACAGATGACCCTCTCCCTATGTTGCCTTTCTCGCACTATGTGCATATTTGGCCCTCTCGTCACACTGTCATCTCTCTGACCTTTATCACCTGCTTGTCTCCAGTGAGCTTACAGACACGAGACCGCATTGGCAGCGGAGGCCCTGTGGTGGACTGCAGAGGACTGTTAGAAAACGATGGGTGAGTGTGTCACCAGGCAACGTTTAAAGAAACAATCGCACTCTGTTAATGGTTTGAATATGTTTCATAGATTATTCTGTGTCTCTTTCGCAGTTGTAAGATAGATAGAGATAGAGATAGATGAAGGAACTGTCTCAGTCAGTCCTGTTTGCTTTTACAGCGATATTTACTTCTCAAACAGTAGGAAAAGCTAACAGAAATACTTGACAAATACCAGCCAAAAGCATAGCCAAGTTTGAAACACAGATAGATCTTCCATAGCTGTTCAACTGGGTTTAGATCTGGTAACCGCAAAGTCCATAGCATTCAGGTTTTATCCGTCTGTATATTGTAATGTAATCTAATGTAATGTCAACCACACATTACCAAAATGTCAGAAAACTCTGTTAATGTATTAGATTCAGTCTTATTTTAATGCCTAGGCTGTCATGATGGGATCCCATGTGAAGAAGGACTAAGACCCATTTTGGGTGCTTGTTGTGTTGCAAGATGAGATCAGTTTAGTTAGAATTATTGTTTGTTTGATCCTCTCCCAGTCTTTGTTACTCTGAGTTCAAAATAAAAAGCAGTTAGCCTATCATGTGATTCCACTAAAACAGAGAAAACAACTTCAGTGGTGTGTGTGTGTGTGTGTAGCCCTGTGTTTGAGGGATGTTTCAGTGAAGAGCCGCTGCCCTACTCCGACCCCACTGGTGCGGCGGGGGGCGGGAACTGTCGGCTTGACTCACCCAGCCAGGAGAGCCGTCTTCAGACACAGCGAATCAGAGGGCAGGACTCGAGAGGCCACGGCCACACTCCTCAGAACAGACCTCATGGGCACCAACCGCCTGACCTGCCGGAGGGATACGGTCAGTCAAACACTTTGGGGGTTTATGTTTTACATAACTCTCTGAACTCAAGAGTTTTTGTTACTCTAAATCTCTTCTGTTGTATTTACAAAGTCAACACCTTTCTTTGTTTTCTTTTTTTTTAAACAGAGCAGCGAACGACAGTGCAGGGCCAGGTGTACTTTCTTCACACACAGACAGGTGTTAGCACCTGGCACGACCCTCGGATACCACGGTAGGATAGCACCCTTCACCACTTCACTTGTGTGTAGACGAAGCATGACCTAAAATGAGATTAACTTTGAATAAACCCCACTGAGACTGAAGTATGTCATTGCAGCAGCAGAGGAAGAGGCCATAAGGTTGCATGGGTTATACTGCAGATTATACTTACAGCATCTTTGTACTGCTATGTAGTTTAAAGAATGATTCTATTTTGATGACTGGGACCATTCACATTCAAACTGAGAAATGTATTTCTATGTATGAAAATGGGCAACTACTTTCTTGTGTACATCACCTGCTCTGCACTAATCACACCAACAGATTAAGAGAAAATCTGTAGGTTTAGGTCCGTATGAGGGGTTAAGAACATACAGTATGTAGGGTCAGGATTGTTGGAGACAAGAGGTCTGGTAGTTGAATGGATGCAGTGGATTTGTGCTGCCGGCCGAGGTCTCAGTCTGGTTCCTTGTTACTGGTGCAGGGACCTGGCCAGTGTGAGCTGCGAGGAGTTTGGGCCGCTGCCAGTGGGCTGGGAGGTCCGAAGCACCGTGTCAGGCCGGATCTACTTTGTGGACCACAACAACCGAACCACACAGTTCACAGACCCGCGCCTACACACAATTATCAGGTACAGGTACACACACACAGCTGAAATACTTACAGAATAATCAATCTAACCGTGGGTGGCAGACACCCCTGACACATACAAAATAAGTGGTTTCAAGACTAAGCTGCCGTTAATCTGATCTCTCACGGCCGTAATGCTGGACTCAGACTGGTTCTGGACATGACCTACTAACAGTCATCAACTCTGTTAATGCTGAAACAAGTGATTTACAGAAATGTGGGTTTATGGTAGATTTATCCTCTCTGTGTGAATGCACAGTGTGTAATTTAGTCTGGATTTTCTTTTTTTTCATCAACTCTTTATCTCCTGCCTGTCATTCTTCCCTCTCGTCATGTTGCCTCTTCCCCGTCCTCCTCTATTTCTTCCCACCTCCAGCCAGCAATCCCAAGCGAAGGAATCCTCCCAAGCCCCCCAGATGGATGTGGGGGGTGAGGAGGTGGGAGGCGGGGGAGTGGGCGGAGGAGGAGGAGATGGAGATGTGGCAGCGCGCTACGAGAGAGACCTGGTCCATAAGTTGAAGCTGCTCCGCCACGAACTGTCCCTGCAGCAGCCTCAGGCAGGACACTGTCGCATCGAGGTCTCCCGAGAGGAGATCTTTGAGGTGGGTGCAAATGTCAAACCAGGAAGGAACAAAATGACAGACCCTGCTTAAAGAAATCTCAACGGCACATAACCACACAATGATACCGTGTCTCTCTCTCTC